CTCCCAGAATTCCCCAGCCAGCCTTGCTGGCTGGGGAATTCTGGGAGATGAAGTCCACCCACCTTAAAGTTCCCGAGGTTGAGAAACAATGCTGTAGGATCATAGCCCTTGCATGTCAACCTGCAGTCCTGAGCAGACTTACTCTGGAGTAAGCTTTGTGGTGAGGCTTACTGAGGAAACCCAGAAAAATGGCATTGCAAGGTTGCAAAAGAATATTGCTTTCATGAATAATCATCTACATTAGTAAATATGACGAACGATAATAAAATTGGGATTAAAAGGGAATTGGATGTATCGCTTGTTTCTTTATTTCCCGGAAAGCTTTCTTATTTAGTATTACAAAATATGGAAGAACGAAAGAACTAATCAATATCCTCATGCCCTGATTTTCAGAGGTCTACAGTTTCCCTCCCTCTGGAACGGGTCCTTGATGTTTCTCGCACCTGATTCTTTTGTCCAGCCACTTGCAAAGAGTTCGTAATGGCCAAAGACATCCTAGGGGAGGCGGGTCTTCACTTTGATGAGCTGAACAAACTGAGAGTTTTGGATCCAGAGGTGGCCCAGCAAACCACAGAGCTGAAAGAGGAATGCAGGCTATTTGTAGACAGTAAGTCTTCTCTGCTGACTGCAGAGAGAGCTGTCCCTCCTTAGCAGGGTCAGGATGACGTCGGAGGGCTGGTTCACACATGTACGGTTTAGCAAGGGATGGGTGTGGAGGGAATTGTAGCAGAGTCCATCTGGAAGACACTATAACTGGCCACATGGTTCAGTTTTCTTTCTGCCTTATCCAGCTTTCGTGCAGAAATGGCTCATTTAGACCAGGACAGAGAAGACCACATGGGCTGAGAATGTTATGACCAGCTGGGCTTGGAGTTATGGCCAAATATGGCCCCATCAACCCCCACCAGGCCCTGTATGTCTTTCAGCTCTCACTTTTGTGGGTCCTACCAGCCTGCACATCACAGATCTCTTTCCCTGAGATGGAAAAGGATGTTTCTTCGCTTGACAGGGATAGCGGTTCAAATTATTGTTGCTGGTGGGACCTGCAAAAACAGAAGGTGTCTTAATCTTCTTCTCCAAAAGCAAGTTAAAGGCACCGTCTGCCCTCTTAGGCAGGGCTGCAGTCTGCGGCATCTGTGTGCATGTGTGCTTGGATGTGTGTGCCTGTATGCAGGAGAATTGTCTGTGTGCGTGCGAGTGTAGATATTGTGGGTTTCTAAAAGCCCTTGTTTGATTAGATGAGCAAATTGTCAGAGGCGCCTTTCTCTAATAGTTCCAAGCAACAGTGATGATTACTTAGCACTCCAAAAAAAAAAAAAAAAAGGAACTGCAGTTTTTTGTCCCTTTTCTGATGATGTTGGATGTAACCCCTTTCTGTTACTGCTTTCCTCCTTTACAGAAATTGCAGAATTTAAAAAAATAGTGGGCAACCTCATTGAACTTGTAGACCAACTAGCAAAAACCACCGAGAACGAGAAGATTAAGGTAAAGGGGCATTGTAAAGGACTGTTTCCCACCTCTGATTTGAAGGACATTCCCCCTCAATCTTCCAAAAAGTCTTTCTGCCTTTGAGTAGGAAGGGGTGTAAAAACTCCGGGGCCAAAGTGTTCTGATCTGGAGATACCCTTTTCCAGGTTAGCTGGAACTGTTCTGAGCTCAAAATGGGGTGTTCTGGTCTCCAGTTTTCAGTTGGAAAACTTCCATTGATGCTTCCGAGTCACCAGATTTTGTCCTCCAAAAGTCGTGCACCCCTGTTATTATGTGCAGGATAAATAGGACCTGCAAGGAAATATTGAAGGGGGTGCAGGGCTGCTGTTCAGAGTTTCAGCCAGCCAGGCCTGGGTTGAAGATATTCTGTTCCGTTCCTTTTCCTCCTGCCCCATTTTCTGCTCTCAGCAGATGCTCTGCGTTCTATAGCCAGTGAATGTCCTCAGTCTTCAGGGGTTGTTTTTAGAGTCTTCCCTTCCACCCCTTAGGAATTTTTTGCTGAAGATGTTTGGTTTAATTTCCACAAACCTTCCAGTTCTGTATTGGTGAACGGAGGGTGCCCCTTTAGCTCCTTAAAGATGCACGCTGGAAATGTGAGTTGGAGATTGGTTTGTCGAGCAACAGAGCTTTGAGCAGGCTGTTGCTTCTGTTGGTCTGGGTCATCTCTTCCTACTTGCCTGAGCTCTTTGGTAACATTTCATAAGGACCTGAAAGGCGCTAGACTTGTCGTAACATTAAGGTCTATGGGTAGCCGTTCTCTCCAGATATCTTCGGCCCTACTGGGCCTCTGCTCTGTCTTATTTTTAAAAAGGTTATGGGAGAAAAAATTAAAAATCAGAAGCTGCCAGATTGCAAATCAGAGTACCAGCCTAGAGAGCCTCTCTGTTTGATGCTTGTAGAATATGGGGTAGGCAGCAGCAGCCGGGAGCTTTGTGTGGAAGGATGGCCTCCTGGCCAGGTTGGAGAAGGCATTTTGCGAGCATGCTCTCAGACCTTCAGACTTGTACCCTGGCCCCATTGGTTTTGAGGGTTCTCCCTTTAAAGAAAAGCAATTACTTTTCCCTCCTTTTTTAAAATAAACACTCTGGTAGCCAGATAGTTGCAAAAAGTCTGCTTCCAGATGTGGTGTAGGAGTTAAGGTTTTGAATTAGGATCAAAAGGCCTAAGTTCTGGTCCCCTCGAGCCACAGAAGCTCCCTGGGGGCCTTTGGGTCAGTCACTCTCTCTCAGCTCAACCTACCTCACAGGGATGCTGGTGTGAGAGAGGAAAATTGAAGGAGGGAGTGCTTGGTACTGTCAGCCTCGCTGGGTAAACGAGATAGGAATCATGACCAGATGAGCTAATTCTACTTTATTGTAAAGTTATGGTAACAAAATCTTGCAAGTCTGAAAGTACAGTTCTCCCCCCCATCTCCTTTACATCCTGAGAGGCTAGGGAGGGTCCCTTCTGAACCTCTTTCTGCACCCATTATCTAGCTGCGGATTATGCTGCCCCTTATCTGACCATTCCCTTGGCAGCATCTCTTTGCCCCGTCTCCCAAGGTCCTTCCCGCATGCCATTATGGGTACGCTGCCTTGAGCTCCTGGGGAAAAAGCAGATATAAATCTCAGAAGTAAATAAATGCCTGCTTAGGACAGCTTTACTTGACCCCGTTCTGTTGATGAAGTGAACAGACTGGCCTATTAGGTGGCCATGGTCCCATGGCTTTGGCCAAGAGTGTAATTAGGGCAACGGTTGCAATGCATTATATGATGCTACAGTGGGAAAGTTCCCAGATTCTGCAGATTGGAAGAAATTGTGGCAGATGGGCTGGTAGCCAATGAAGATATAAGGAATGCACAACAGATGTGTTGTGCTGATTTTCAATTGCATCAAGATCTCGATTTCAGTTTTGAATGTCATTAACAGCAAACGGCTTTGATTATCGCTGTTGCCTTCATCCTGAACAGGTTCCGACATTAAACAAAGGAGGGAATCTTTTGAAGTTGACATGCTTTCAGAAACCCAATTAGCCATGCTGGAGAAGACCACCTCCTGCATTGCTCCCAAACCTTGAGACTTCTGTCTAGGTTTTCCTGTTTCAGAGTTAGAACAGGAGTTAAAAGGAGACAGACCTTTTAGTTTTGTATTTTCCTTTCTGTCTTATAAGCTGCCTTGATGTCCTGCTTGGATAGAAACGGGCAACATAAATACGTTTTAATCAATCACATTAAAACTCCTTTGATGAATTACAGGTTTTTAAAATAATTATTGTATCAGATTTTTAAAAATACTTGTCCTGTTTCTGTTTGTGTACCCCTCCTTTGGAAGAGCAACATTCTATAAAACTGAACAAACCAGATACTTTTTTTAAAAGAAGGAGCCAATTGTTTGCTTTAAAGAAATGGTCATTATGTTTAAGGATTGGAGTTTTTAACAGCTGAATCCTGTGGTTTGTTTTTCCTTGATAAAGCAAATCCATATTTAAAAGGATTTATATCAGAGTATATTTAAGTTTTTAAATTGAGCCATTTATCGAGAAGTAAACCCCCACTGAACTAAATGGGATTACTTCTGAAGAAATAGCTCTGGGAGCTTAGCTGACCCACAAGTTGTCCTCTGTTTAAAAAAAAGTTTTTCATATTCTTTTTAATGCAGCCAGTTACAAAAATTGAAGAGGGCAAGAAGTGTTCTGTGTCCTTTGCAATTGAGTACAGGGAGTCCTCGCTTACTGACTGCCTCGTTCAGCAACCATTCAAGGTTACAACAGTGTTGAAAAAATAACCTGACGACCAATGCCCGCATCTACAACCTACGCAGCATCCCTCAGGCACGTGGGCACCTTTATAGTCAATACATGTTGGCCTGTGCCTGACCTATTTTTTTTCTTTTTTTTCCCCCTTGCAGAGCAGAGAGATTGGAGAGAAAGGGATTACAAGAGAGTAAGCAGGCAAACAATGGGAAATACACCGGGCTGTTTGCATAGCGCACTCGGGGTTAATGATGCCAGTGCATTAGTTTCAATGTATATTCCCCATTGTGTGCCTGCTTACTCTCTTGTAATCCCTTCCTCTCCAATGAATATAAATACAAACATTAATCCCCTTCTTGCTAATTATCCCAGCACTGGGGTGAGCATTTCAAAGGGTGGGGAAAAGGAACGCACAGTTGCGGTCACATGATTCCCACTTAGCAACTGCTTTGCTTTGTGACGGAGTTGCTGGTCCCAATTGTGGTCGCTAAACAAGGACTACCTGTAATTGCAAATTGTCAATTAAAAGTGGTATTCAGTTGGACAACATTCATTGTACAGTGTCATTGCTTACCAATGATTATTAGATATAGTTTGACCACCAGGAGGCAGGTGAGGTCCAGTAAGGATGAAACTGTAGCACACTGCCTCCTGGTGGTCACGTAGTGTGTCACAGCCACTCAAATATGTATGTCCACCACCTGGGAGTCATGAAACCTCCAACATGAAGTTTCCTTTCCCTTCTTTTATTTCCCGTGCTGGCTGGGGAATTCTGGGAGTTGAAGTCCATACATCTTGAAGTTGCTAAGGTTGGGAAAAACTGGACTAGAGAGATACTGTCATTATGTCATGGGGGCATGACATAATATCAGCTCTCCCTCTACTCAACTTGTATAAAAGGAGGTGTATACTACACATAGTTGCTTACCAATGGATGACCAACAGATTTCTTTAGAAGTGTAGCAACCCTAATCAACCATTGCTCCATTTAGAAGGATGGCAAAAAAAAAACCCCAATTTTTTTTTTTTTTTAAATAAAGCCTTCTCCTTTCCACAGGCAATTGGGGCCCGCAACTTACTGAAGTCAATAGCAAAGCAACGAGAGGCCCAACAGCAACAACTCCAGGCGTTGATCGCCGAGAAGAAGACGCAGCTGGAAAGGTTAGGAATGGCCAGAGGGGCGGGGGTCTTTGTGGGATTTTCCAAATGGATGCTGATCTTCCACGGAGTAGACCCCCGCTGGCCGGATGCAGTCTCCAGACCACGAAAGCTGAAGCCCCAGTTATATCAGGGAGGCAAATTATACCGTATCAGTCCCTGGCCCCCCAGTTGTCTGAAATCATGCATGCTTTTGGCAGTCTTGCTCCCCAGTTTTGTGCCATAGTGTTAGTGTTTCTCAACGTTGGCCACTTGAAGATGTGTAGACTTCAACTC